ACACACACACACACACACACACACACACACACACACACACACACACAAAACTCGGATTATCTAAGGACACATGTCCATCCATCTCGCCTTAAAAAGTGAATGGGGAGCGGCCTGACACACAGAGAGCCTATTAGCCAACTTGGGCTCCCGTGGAGAGCATTGAGGTAAGCTCCCCCACCGTAACTGTCCATGGTGCTGAAGCAGTAAGAGGGTTTCTTCACTGCACACTTGCGTCCTCCCTCAAAAACTCTTAAAAGCTAGGGTTGACATTTCAATGCCTTTCATTGTATTTCCATCCCATTTAGTGATGGTTCTCTGAAAAAAAAAAATATTAGAAAGACACAACTCACATGCTCTACAACTTTCCTAACTTTTTTTTTTCTCACCAGCAGTATGTTTTTTAAGCCTATCTTTTCTCACAGTGTGGAAGAACTACTGCATATTTGGAACTAATACATTTTTTGCACCATGAATTATAATAAACACATTTTGTATGTTGTCAAAACATGCCCAACTGTCTGTCCCTTGCTATAGCTTCAGTATGGGATTGACTGTAAATTAGCAAGTGCCTTGTCAATACAGCATGTATTATAGCATTGCCTATTGTGTTGTTGTATCTGATTGTTATTTACAAGATGAATTGTTAGCATTGATAGATGGGTGACTTCATGGTTATGGACTATATTGGAGATGATACAGGACACAAAATATGAGAAAAGGGGAACAAAACACACACAAAGTAGAGCAACAACAAAGTGCTTGAACCATGTGCCCCCTGATTGAAGGACAGTTTACTGGTATTTGTGCCAGCAATTAGCCCGTGCTTTTTTACAGTTTTGCTTAAATGATTCCACAGACCTATTCCAAGTATTGAAGTCTTCTAACTACCTAGTTCTCGTTGAAAATGTCATAATATATATGCAACACCTTCATTTTCAACTAACTCTGATGGAAATGAGAATGGTCAAAAAATGTAAGTGCACAAACATGCACAGAGACACAGCGTCCACTTGTAGTTATCATTAAAAATAAGTTTTCAACATAAAATGAAATGTAATTCACTCATTGAGCAGAATGGTGCAACTTGTGATACAGAGCCCACACACTGCTCACGTTCCTCTTTGAAAACAGAACCATTTATCAGCGAAGGTACATAACACCAACTTCTTTCAACCATGTTTGCAGAAAGTATTCTGTCCGCTTCATTTATATATTCACACGTTAAAATACTGGGTGTCCATGGTCAAGGCATTTGTCCCCTGTTTCCATGTTGTCCCTGAAAAAAGGATGTCTTTCTGCAATGAAATAAATCTAAAACTCAAATTCAGCTCATTATACTGTAGATCTTTTTACATCATCCACTTGAAGTATACCATTCATTGACACTAAGAAGTAATCGAAACAGAAATGAGCGGTATGTGAGATGTATTGCCAACGTGGGGCATACATTACAGAAAACATCCATATATCATATCTTTGTGGTTACAATTTATCAGTAAGATAGAAGTCCGACTTGAATAAAGTCTTTTAAAATGACTAAACTTAAGCTGCTCTCTCTTTTATTCTGGATAGTACAGAGCAGAGCAGAAGAAAAAAATTGACAAAGGTTCAAGGCATCGGGTAATAATGAAAGGATAGGGGCAATACTTCAAAGACCACGAGGTGCACATCACACAATTATACAATACAATTAGGATTAAAGGGGCAAAAGAGATAACAGGAGATAGGGATAAATTATCACAAAAGGAAAGATGTGACTCTCTCCTGACCTTCATTAAGAGAAAAAAAACTCATTTAGAGCTGGCCTTCCTTGCAGGGGGATTTCAGGCTTTCACATGAGACTGCGACTCACTAGATAAGATTTGCGGAGTATAAAAGAGAATCTGAACTACTGCTAAACAATAATATAACATGCATATCCAGAATAAAATAATACAATAAATAGTCCTACATGAATATATATAAATCATACATATATACATTTTAATAATTGCTATGGAATCGGACACATTTTGGACAGTTTCACAAAGCATGAGTTTCCTGTTTTAAAAAGTGATAAGG